CTTTGTTAACAAGTTTACTTGTTCCTACTTCAAAACACTACTCTTGGAACTGAGGATATGGCTCAGTGGTAGAGTACTGCATAGCATAACCATTTTTTTAATTGGCATCAGGCTGAGTCTGATGATGTACACTTTAATCCTAGCACTCGGGAGGCAGAGCCAGGGGGATCTCTGTGTGTTAGTGGTCAGCCTGGTCTATATAGTGAGTTCCAGGACCACCAAAACTACATAACAGAGAGACTGTGTCTCAAAAAAAATTTTTTAATTGCCATAAACCAGTAGAGTTTCTGATGATACTGATGTCATTTCCCCTTTTGAAACATGCTGTCACATTGATACTATACATATCCCTTCCACCCCTGAATCATTTCCCCTTTGAGAGTTGGAAGTTATAAATACTTAAGCCTGGCTTTCCTACGAGCAGACAGCACAGTTACAACATTCCGGAAGTTTAGCAATGAGCTAATGTAGAGGCTTATTCACATTTCCCTGAATGTCCCATTAATGCCTTTTCTTAGTGCCTTTAAAACTAGCATCTAATCTAGGGTTATGTGTTGCATTCATATGTTCTGTCTTCTCAGTCTTCTTACTCTTTAGTCTGTGTATTTCTTCCTCCCTTGTAGGTATGTTCTGTGATGTTGCCTCTAAGATATTTGTTTGGTTCAGCATTTTTAGGTGTTTCAACAGGAGGGTTCCAGTTCAACATTAACTAGAAACTGGGCAGTCCAACTGTTGTAATCATCTTTTATATTTCTGTCTTGTGACTCTGGGACGCTCAGTGACCTTCCCAACCTCATCTTCTGCCAATTCCAAGCCACTGATATTCAATGCACTACTGCTAGTTCCTAAACTCACCATTTGTTCATTTACTCAAAGCCTATCTACTTTCAGCACTAATCTACCTCTGGTCAGAGAGACAAACATCAAAAGAAGCAGATGTAGCACAGTTAGCATCCTGACTATTCGCATGGTATATGTTTATTGACTGTTACTCTTTTGTCAGAAACTTGGCCTTGAGCAGAGAGACAAGAATTGGTGTGTACAGTGGTATATTTTATGTTCATGGAGCATGGGGGTGGTATGATCTACTTCCAGAGCATAGAGGAGGAGAGAGGCAGGAGGAGGGAAGGCCCCTGAGAATTGTCACCTGAACCTACAGGATGAAAGATCTCCAAATGAAGAGGCAAGAAAAAATAGGCCCATAGCTGCTATTGATACAGGGAGGTATCATGGGTTACTTTTCCTTCTGGGCAAGGGCATCACAGTGGTTAATAGTATAGACACAATAGCAAAGGCAGTTGATGAACACACGTGTTTGTAATGAAAATAAATCCATCCATTGTAAGTCATCTTAATTTGCCATAAACTCAACAGTGACCTCAGACAATTTCCTTTGTGTAATTGAGCTTCCTTTTTCCTTTATCTGTGACATTCCAAAGCTGAACATACTGGTTTTCTGAGGATACTTCCAACTTTGAACTATATGAACATAGAAACTAGGTGTTTGGCTCTCCTAGTAATCATGGAAAAGATGAAAGGACAGGAGGTGGGGAGGGGTGGCTAAAGAACAGCAAAAGAAACACATGTATGGTCTGATGAGAGGGAGGATGAAAGGGTATTTGGTTTCTTAGGAAATGTACTTCACTAAACATCACAGACCCTCTTGGAGGGCAATCTTGGGAAATCATCTGTCATCCCAGCTTAGCCCCTCCTACCTTGGATCCTGTAGTGAAGACCATTTGCCCTCACTCCTACCCCCACCCTTGACTGAACAGGCCCTTGGGCAAGTATCAGCTCTTTGGAATTACATCATTTGCATCCTTTTAACCTTCATTCCACATCCAGAAATAATCCACACTTCTTTGTGGGCTTTTGTTATTTTGGTGTTGCTGATTTTTTTAAATTTATGTGTACATGATATCTTCCTGCTTGTCTGTGTGTACACCACATGCATGCAGAGCCTACAGAAGCCAGCAAAGAGTGTCAGATCCCCTGGAACTGGAGTTATAAGTGGTTCTGAGTGGCCATATGGATGCTGGGAAGCTGGGCACCAAACATGATTCCTGTGCAAGAGCAGTAAGTGCTCTTAACCACTGAGCCATAATCGCCAGATCTGTTACTTTTTGTTGTTGTTTATTTGTTTGTTTGTTTGTTTTTCAAGACAGGGTTTCTCTGTGGCTTTGGAGGCTGTCCTGAAACTAGCTCTGTAGACCAGGCTGGTCTCGAACTCACAGAGATCCACCTGACTCCTGTTACTTGTTTTTAAACAGAAAATTAGCTGGCATGGTAGAACATGCTTTTAATCCCAGAACTGAGAAGTATTGAAGTCAGGGGCTGGCCTTAGATACAGAGTGATCTACAGATGCACCAATCTTGCGGTATCTTCCCTCCCTATTTTTCCCCTCCCCCCTAATTAGAAGTGAGAAAATATAATCCCAAACATCTGTGTGCCTTTCAATACAAAGAACTAAAAAGCAGCATATAGTTATTATTTGCTATAAATGTTTTCAGTTTGAAAGAAAGAACATGAGGGTTAAGGATATAACTCAATTGATAAAATACAACTGGGGCTCCCACATTTGTAGCTAGTAGCTTCAGGGATGCTATTTGAGTACCTGTTCCTCACCCAGACTTCCTTTCTCGTCACTGGCGCTGCTGTCTGCCCAGCCTTTAACACAATTTTTAATTTAGTTCTGCCCTGTCCACCATTGAGCTCTGTTGATTCTTCCCTAAACAGATCCCAAATCCTTTACTGCCTACATTCTTGACCATGCCTAGGCTATTGCTAAGTTTTTTTCTTGACTTCTTCCTGCTCTGTTTTTGTACTCCCATCCCCAGCTTTACTGGCACCACAGAATACCCCAGCACCAGAGTCACCTTTGAGGTGGTCTACCAGCTGCTACCCCTGGGATATTATTGTTGGCTTTCTCACTACAGGAACACTATGATCAAAAGTTGGAATCTTTTTTGTGTAGTATGTTACATTTGATAATATACTTAAGCTCCTTTGTTCCCATTTGTATGTATTATAATATCTTAGCTTTGTTACTTTTGTTTTATTTTTAGTTATGTTAACATTTACATGATTCATTAGATACAATTATAGTTCAAGAAGTGTTCAGCAAGGTTTCTTACCTTGTTCTTACCTACCCTAGACTAGTCTGCAATCCCCTACACCAGATCCATATGATAAACATGGCTGCATTTTTTTAACTTCAAAAGAGTCATGAAACTCATTCTTCCCTAGCCTTCCAGTATGTAAGCCTCCTGTAATTTATTCATCAAGTCTCCTTCATGACGAGGACTAGAGAAACCTGCAGTCTTAGGATAATGAAAATTGCCATGCCTGTGTTGTTAGGCATTTCCAGAGGTATCTCCTCAGTAGATTTCTAGGTGTTCCTCAGAGTACAAGTGAGAATTCCAACGAAGCCAACTTGTCCTGTTTTCTCAAACTCAAAAACTGTTTAGAGTCAGGGGAGCAACCTTGGTGTTTAAAAGGGCCCTATGGAATTACATGCAAGTGATAAGTACCTGCTGTATACTACTTTGGCCTTCATTCCTCTGTGACTTAGAGGTTCCATATTAAGCCAGTCCTGAAGACTGAACTGTAAGCAGACCACAATGCTTCCAGATGCACCTCTCAGCCCGTGGTCTTTTTTCCAATTCTCCTAGTCTCAGACCAACAGGCAGCTACTACTTCTTTCCAAACCTTCCTTAATCTGGCCTGTAGCTCAGAGGTGCAAACAGTGCAATGTGGTCAGATTCTATAGTCATAGGGATACTTACTATGTCTCCCTACAGTGGTCACTAGAGCATCAGAGACAGGCTTTGAACCCTGTACATGAAAGGACCCCATCAAGAAAAACCAAAACCTGTGGAAGGAGCTGTCTCTGTCCACAAGAAAGAATGGGCAGGTGTCCTGTCCTGGAATGTGGCAATTGCTATATTCCATACACTATTTTATTATTACACCTTTTTCTTTCTCTTTCCTCTGTTTCTGCTGAGGATAAGGTGATTGCTTGCTTGCTTGCTTGCTTGCTTGCTTGCTTGCTTGCTTGCTTGCTTGCTTGCTTGCTTGCTTGCTTTGGTAAGGAATATCCTATAAAGACCCGTGTGACCTAGGATCCCTTTTTATCTCATACTAGAACCCTAGACAGCAGTTACTGTTTGCCTGAATTAACAATAGTTACACATTGCCTTGGGACCTTTTTGTCCATGATTCTTACAGAAAGGATATCTCTAGGATGAGATTAGCATTAGCTACCATTGAGATGAGGAAACTGGCCTAGAATGCTGAAAATCACTTGCTGGGGTCCTTGTTTTAAGAATGGCAAAGTCATGAAGCCGAAGCAATAGCACAGAAGTTAAGAATACTGCTACTCTTCCCTAGGGCCTAGATTCAATTCCCAGCACCCAACATGGTGAATCACAACCATCTGTAACTTCAGTCCCAAGGGACCCAATTCCTTCTTCTGGCCTCCACAGACATTAGCCACTCGTGTGGTAAACAGACATACATCCAGACAAAATACATAAAATAAATAAAAGAAAATGACACAGTCAGAACTGGAACTCAGGTTGGCCAAATCCAGTTTTTCATGACTGTGCTGTATATCACTTTCCAGCAGTGGAGAGGCTTTTGTCATGTGACAAGCCCAGGGGGCCATCAGGTGCAACTTATAAACTGACCTCTGCTGGGTGAGAAGCCAACCATACAGGGCTTAAATTCAAGAGAAAAACATGCCACTTTCACAGAACTAGAACTAGGGTTTGGAGTAGTATGATAAAAGTGCATTTGACCAATATCACCAGCAGTCCAAAGACACTAAATAAATCTTTGGGCCTCAGCTTGGCTCAAGGATACACTGGCCCAGGGAAGTTACCAAGATCTGAGTATGCAGCACCCAAGGGTCTCCTGTATGGCGCCCAAGCTTGCCTGTGCTCACTACTCTGCGTGCATGTGTTCTCTGTGATACTTACATATTTGTTTAATACTTCAGGGAGGAAAAGTCAGAAGACCAGGATCTTCAGGGCCTCAAAGACAAGCCCCTGAAGTTTAAGAAGGTGAAGAAAGACAAGAAGGAAGACAAAGAAGGCAAACATGAGCCACTACAACCTTCAGCCCACCATTCTGCTGAGCCCGCAGAGGCAGGCAAAGCAGAGACATCGGAAAGCTCGGGCTCTGCCCCAGCAGTACCAGAAGCCTCTGCTTCTCCCAAACAGCGGCGTTCCATCATTCGTGACCGGGGACCCATGTATGATGACCCCACCTTGCCTGAAGGTTGGACACGAAAGCTTAAGCAAAGGAAGTCTGGCCGCTCTGCTGGAAAGTATGATGTATATTTGATCAAGTAAGTAAGAGTAAGTCTTGTGTCTATAGATCAGAAAGGCTATATAGTGGGAGGGCTAGATACAAGGACCCATTGAAACTACAGCTCTGTGGAATCTACCATCTGTAGGACACTTAAATAACATCAATACCAGATATATTCGGAAAACACTACAGAGGTCCCTACCCTTTTGCTCTTCTTCAGAATATGTATCCTTTACCCATGCTACATGTCAAATTCTTTCTACTTCAAAATCAGTGTTGGGAAAGGTTTGCTTTTTAAAAGGACTTCTGGAAAGCGACACAAATGGACTCTGTGTGCCTTTCCAACTGCTCCTTTTGCATTTGTTCAGCTTTGGATTGACCTCTTAGTATTTTCTGATAAAGCAAAGTAACTTTCAAAGCCAGAGGTTTAAAGGAACAGCTAAGAAATACATCAGCTCTGCCCCTTAAATGATCCCAGAAAGGCTAGCCACTTTCCCAGTATTTGTGGGCAGTTTTAGTTAATCTTCAACTCTTAAGAAGAGTGAGGAAAGCTTTATTGCACTGAAATGGATTCCCAAAGAGGTTGGACACCATGCCTTGGTTCAGATGCAGGAATATATATATTTTATTGTTTTTTGTTTTTCGAGGCAGGGTTTCTCTGTGGTTTTGGAGGCTGTCCTGGAACTAGCTCTTGTAGACCAGGCTGGTCTCGAACTCACACAGATCCACCTACCTCTGCCTCACAAGTGCTGGGATTCAAAGTGTATGCCACCAACACCCCGGCTCAGATGCAGGATTAGGTCTGAGCACCAACCAACAGTCAGCTCAGCTCAGTGATCCCTTAGAACCAGGCCTGACCCATGTGGTTTCTGGATGGTGGAGAAGCCAAAGACTACATAGGAGTAGACTTAGAAGTAGACAGGTCCTCTGAGGATTTTAGGCCCAGCTCTTCTGGCTCCTGAGCAAGCTGTATAGTTACCCACTACCCCAGGTAACATGGTTTCTACCCATGCTTCTGGCCTGGCTATACCCTCCAGTTTTAGGTCATCTCATTTCTTCTTCAGTTTGACATTTGATCACTTACAATGGCTTATAAGAAAGTTTGTCAGTACCATCTCCTCTACCTCAGTCTGTTAAGTTGTCATAAAGAAAAAACTTCTGACTATTCTTTGTGTCTCTCCATTTGTCTCCACAGTCCCCAGGGAAAAGCCTTTCGCTCTAAAGTGGAATTGATTGCATACTTTGAAAAGGTAGGCGACACCTCCTTGGATCCTAATGATTTTGACTTCACGGTAACTGGGAGAGGGAGTCCCTCCCGGAGAGAGCAGAAACCACCTAAGAAGCCCAAATCTCCCAAAGCTCCAGGAACTGGCAGGGGTCGGGGACGCCCCAAAGGGAGCGGCACTGGGAGACCCAAGGCAGCATCATCAGAAGGTGTTCAGGTGAAAAGGGTCCTGGAAAAGAGCCCTGGGAAACTTCTCGTCAAGATGCCTTTCCAAGCATCGCCTGGGGGCAAGGCTGAAGGAGGTGGAGCTACTACTTCTGCCCAGGTCATGGTGATCAAACGCCCTGGCAGAAAACGAAAAGCTGAAGCTGACCCCCAGGCCATTCCTAAGAAACGGGGAAGAAAGCCTGGGAGTGTGGTGGCAGCTGCTGCTGCAGAAGCCAAAAAGAAAGCCGTGAAGGAGTCTTCCATACGGTCTGTGCATGAGACTGTGCTCCCCATCAAGAAGCGCAAGACCCGGGAGACAGTTAGTATTGAGGTTAAGGAAGTAGTGAAGCCCCTGCTGGTGTCCACCCTTGGTGAGAAGAGTGGGAAGGGACTGAAGACCTGCAAGAGCCCTGGGCGAAAAAGCAAGGAGAGCAGCCCCAAAGGGCGCAGCAGCAGCAGCAGTGCCTCCTCACCCCCTAAGAAGGAGCACCATCATCACCACCACCATTCAGAGTCCCCAAAGGCCCCCATGCCACTGCTCCCACCCCCTCCCCCACCAGAGCCTGAGAGCTCTGAGGACCCCATCAGTCCCCCTGAGCCCCAGGACTTGAGTAGCAGCATTTGCAAAGAGGAGAAGATGCCCAGAGGAGGCTCGCTGGAGAGTGATGGCTGCCCCAAGGAGCCAGCTAAGACTCAGTCCATGGTCGCGGCAACCACCGCCACAGTTGCAGAAAAGTACAAACACCGAGGGGAGGGAGAGCGCAAAGACATTGTTTCATCTTCCATGCCAAGGCCAAACAGAGAGGAACCTGTGGACAGCCGGACGCCCGTGACCGAGAGAGTTAGCTGACTTTACAGAGTGGATTGCAAAGCAAACCAACAAGAATAAAGGCAGCTGTTGTCTCTTCTCCTTATGGGTAGGGCTCTGACAAAGCTTCCCGATTAACTGAAATAAAAAATATTTTTTTTTCTTTCAGTAAACTTAGAGTTTCGTGGCTTCGGGGTGGGAGTAGTTGGAGCATTGGGATGTTTTTCTTACCAACAAGCACAGTCAGGTTGAAGACCTAACCAGGGCCAGAAGTAGCTTTGCACTTTTCTAAACTAGGCTCCTTCAACAAGGCTTGCTGCAGATACTACTGACCAGACAAGCTGTTGACCAGGCACCCCCCCAATACTCCCCCAATGTGCTCATTAGAGATAGCAGTTGAGAGGACACTCCCATTTTTGGTGCCCTGTCCATAGCTTCCCTGACTCTTCCACCACCCCAACTCCCAATCTGAGGGACCGGGAGGTGCGAGGCAGGAAAAATATTGGATTCTTTAGAGAAGACTAGAGGTGACCAGTGACTGTGGCCCAGTAATTAGAACTGTGGTGGCACAAGTCTGGCCCCACATCCACCCAATCCAAAACTGATAAGGATATTTTGAAAAACAGGAAAGCAGTACCTGTCTGATCCAGCTCTGGTATAGGTAGGAGTGAGTCCTGAACTGCTGGATTACAGACTGGCTTGAGCCACAGAAGATGATGGACCAGAGTAAAGTATCATCACCTGCTCACAAGGCATGCTTCACTAGAGAATAATTCTAAAGAGGTGCCATGGAGGCAGCAGGACAAGGCACAAGCAGTCTGGGTGGGGGTCAAGCCAGACCTAGTGCCACAGAACAAGAGAGCAATCTGTGACTAGTAGTTAGGGACTTTGTGGATGGGACAAGGGGCATGGGGGAAGAAATGAAAATATTCTTCCAATTACTTTCCAGTTCTCCTTTAGGGACAGCTTAGAATTATTTGCACTATTGAGTCTTCATGTTCCCACTTAAAAACAAACAGATGCTCTGAAAGCAAACTGGCTTGAAATGGTGACACTTTGTCCCACAAGCCACCAAATGTGGCAGTGTTTAGAACTACCTGGATCTGTATATACCTGCGCTTGTTTTAAAGTGGGCTCAGTACATAGGGTTCCCACGAAGCTCCGAAACTCTAAGTGTTTGCTGCAATTTTATAAGGACTTCCTGATTGCTTTCTTTTTTTGTCCTTCCATTTCATGCTTTCATTTCTAACCCCATTCTCCTTCCCCTAGCTCCTAGTTGTGTCTTTTGTTCCAGGCAACTGCAGTGCCCAACCACATGCTTACCTGACAACAGTCAACCGTAACCCTAAGATTCTCCCTTTGACTTCTTACTGCCAGTGCCAGCTCTCATGTTTAACCCTGAGCAAGTGTTGGACTCTGCTGAGTCCTCCCTAGCCTCTGTGAAGAACAAGAGGGCAATAAGCTCTTGGTCCTCTAGGTAGACCCCTCTTCCTTGCTAAGAAAAAATTCAAAAAGCTTTTCAGACCCTAAACAATGAGCATTTTCACCTTCTGCTATAGAAAAGTGGACTAGAGAAACTGGGCCACGTGTGGTAGCTGAAGAGATACAGGAGCCCCCTGTGTTTGGCCAGAATCACCGAGTGGTCCAACTACCCACTACCCTTGACCCCACTCAGAAGTCTAATGTCAAGCATAGTATGGCAGGGCACCTGTCAGAATAGATGCAGACTTGAGAAGGGACTGACACAAGGGCCCCTTGCTCTTCTGACACATACACCCGCCAAGATTTTTTTCTAGTGGAATTCTTTCCCTTTTGCTTACTGGGGACTTGGTGGGGCCAGCAAACCCCGTATTTCAATCTGCTCCATAAGTGTAATGGTGGGTTTTACAGGCTTGACTTTGCTGTTGAGTTTTAATTGGTCAATTTTCATTTGAGAACCCTATGTTTTAACCTCTGTTCAGGAAGTCCTTATCTAGCTGCATATCTTCATCATATTGGTATATCCTTTTCTGTGTTTACAGAGATGTCTCATATCTAAATCTGTCCAACTGAGAAGTACCTTATCAAAGTAGCAAATGAGACAGCAGTCTTATGCTTCCAGAAACACCCACAGGCACATCCCATGTAAGCTGCTGCCATGAACTGTCAAGTGTGTGTTGTCTTGTGTATTTTCGTTACTGTTCCCCAGCTTCCTTACTGCGGTGTAATCATGGAAGAGTGAAACATCATAGAAATCATCTAGCACTTCCTTGCCAGTCTTTAGTGATCAGGAACCATAGTTGACAGTTCCAATTGATAGCTTAAAGATAAAACCATGTTTGTCTCTTCTGGAATGGTTAGAACTAAGTGAGAAATTTTTTGCCCCTTTCTGTTTGCAGAGACATAGTTGGGCTTTCTAGCATATTTGTGTCCATTTCCTTATGCTACAAATGCAAACCCTGCAACCAGCTTCCTTGTCGGGCAGTTATTTTGCCTGTTCTGTTGATCCTCAGCCTTGGTTCTGATTCCTCCCCAGGAAGGGAAGAGAGGTCAGAAGAGGGACTCTGGAGGGTCCAGGATGTGTCCTCCTCAGCTCCTGCTTCCTCCAAGGACAAAAGGCCCCTGCTGCCCCCACCCCACCCCTGCAGTGGCCTTGCACTCACCAAGGACACCTTTCCATACCTTCACTGCATCTAGCCAGATTGAAATCAAGTTGTTTATTGTGCTCCAATTGGGGTTTTGCCTGTTACAGTTACTTAGTTCAATGAAACATGACTCCAAGGCTGAGGAATCCTTCATCCTTGGGAGACAACCTAGGCTGATTAGACATTCACAGTTGGCATTGCAGCACTTTAGGTGCCATTTTCTTTCATTTGAGCCCCATCTGCAGCCTCCTTACTCCCCAGCTTTCCCTTAGTGCTGGTTTCAAAACTGCAGGTGGTAGTGACTGCAGCTCCTTAGGATTTACTTTGCTTCCTGCTTTTTTCCCCCATTCCCTCATCCCCAAATAAGAGCATCATGAGTCAGTCTCCTTTAAGCAGGCAGCTTTGGTGGGGTTTTGCCCTGGCAGCCAGGGACTCTGTATAGGCTCTCAGGCTGCCTCTGCCTTGCAGTCAGGTTGACAGTTTGGAGGGAAAAGCCTTAAACTATGGGATTCTCACCAGATGTGTCTGACTCAGACCTGGAGTGTGACCTTGATTTTGTTGTATTTGAACATTGTAAATATTGGGTAGCATCTTTCACTGAATATGTGAAGAATACAGGAACTGACCAACAGCTTTCAGATACCTGGGGCTAAGTCATTAAGGTCACATCCAGTATTCCCTACCCTGTTCTAGTTGCTAGTTACTACCTCTCCCAAACAGATTGCTGTATATCCTCCAAGTATGTTCATCCTGGCCTAGTCCTGCCCATTCTTGGGTCTGTGTTAACCAGTGGAACTGCTGCCCTTGACGGTGTAGTGAGTTGAAAATTCTTGGTCACAGCAAGGCTCCAGTACAGGTCCCTTCTGCTGGTTATGTATTCCCATATCAAAAGGCACAGGGGAGATCTAGAAATAGCACCTCCCCTAGTCCATCAGTGCCAAAGTAGCCCGTGATCCTAGCATGGGAACAGAGAACTCTGTTTAGTGTTTTCAAAACAGACTGGAGGCCACAGACTTTGGCAGAGGGAACCAGAGCAGCCCAAGTTGCTGCTGCTTCACCCAGCTTGTTCTTACTGTAACAGTAATAAAAGAGGGTAGTAACTAGAAACTTGACTGCCAAGTTTGGTAGGGAAAGGAGTTTCCATAGCATAAAATTCAGGACCTCTGAATTTTAAATAAGTTGTAATAAGTTGCTCAAGCCCACCCAGAAAAGAGCAAAAGGGTTGGAACTGACCAGATGAGACCAGCCAGATTGCATGCATCCCAAGTGGAGTGCAGCTGCCTGAGCTCTACAAGACTTCTCTAGCTACAGAGAGCATTCCAGCCAGGCTCTCTGGGCTGAGCAGAGATCACAGGTGCCAGTTCTTCAAGAAGACGTTTGTGCTTCTCTTTGTCCCACATTGTTTGCTGATTGGGTTCACACTATAGATTCTAGGACGGATGGCCAAGACTCAGAGAAAAATGTTTCTAGAGCCCCTATGGACATAACAAAGTCCCAAGCTGAAGGGGGCTAGTACAGATGCAGCAATGCCCCATACCTGGACCAAGCCCTCTGTTCCATCCACATCCTCTTCTGGCTCTTCTTCCTGCTCTCTGCTTCAGTGACCCAGCCCCAACTCTGAAGAGATTTGTTGATTCTCTCCATTTTGATGTCCTTCTCTTTTAGGTACTATATCTATCTTTAGAAAAGTCTTAGTCTAATTGTTATAAATTGCTAGGATACTGCCTTTTCCAGGGTCTAAAATTACATGCTAAAGGGGAAAAATTGAACACTGAAACCAGTTCTCAACAGTTTAGAAAGAAAACCTTGAAAACATTTGGCAAAAAAGTATTAATAAAATTACATTCTGATGTTTCTGAATAAGAGGAGGCTTTTGCAAAAAAAATGATCTGAAAATACTTAGTTCTTGGCCTGAGATATCTTGAGTGATCTGGGCAAAGGGAACTCCAGACTGAAGCTTCCTACATCTGAGGAGGTATAACTAGGAGACTCTTGAGATTCATGGCTTTTTATTACTGGAAAACCTCTTTGGGGAGCTGACCCCAGGACACTACTTCTGTCCTTTGATGACATAGAAATTAGTGGCCTGCCAGATGCCAAAGCTTTGGTGCATCAAGTGGAACACTCATCAGTGACCAAGAAGGCCCATCACAGTGTGTCTGCTCTCTTCTCATCTTAACTGAGCCTGCTCAAGCACTACTGCACAAACCAGGGAGGAGCTGCTGCATAAAGAGTATCCCTCCCTGGAGCCCCCTGTCTCTTGCACTCTCCCTACCCCATCCTCAGGATCTTGGCACAGATAAAATGACTGTGTGGCAAGTACTTTGGCATGCCCTCCTAAACTTACCCCAGAGCCTCTCCCTACCTCTTTAAACCAGCCTGCCTATTGGGAAGGCATGAGAGTCCATAGAGTGGAGAATGAGAGGGGAACTAGGCAGGCAGGCAGGCAAGCAATGGAAAGGTCCTAGGAGAAAGGATAGACCCCCCAGGCTTTGCACAAGCAGGGCTCAGCCCCTCGTGGAATTAAGTGTCATCTTTGAGTTTAAGAACATTTGGGCAACTTGCAAATGACCTTGGCTCCTTGCTCTCCCCTCTCACCTTTTATCAGGTCCTGCTTAGCACTGAGAGAACATGTGGTGAAAAGGCAAAGAGGTTTAGCTCCTGTCCCCTATAGTCCCTCTCTCCCTGCAGTGTTTGTGTGTCAAGTGGCTAAAGCTGTTCTTCCTGGTGACCCTGATTATATCCAGTAACTTATAGACTATATGCATAGATCTGCTTTGTCTCTTCTATTCTGGGCTTTTGATTTGCTTTTCAGTTTTGCTTTTAGTTTTCCTATTTTTATTTTATGCATCAACTAGACACACAAAGCAGTTGAATTTATATATATATATGTATATGTATATTGCACAATTATAAACTCATTTTGCTTGTGGCACCACACACAAAAAGACCTTTTAAAATTATACCTGTTGCTTAATTATAATATTTCTGATAACCATAGAGTAGGACAAGGGAAAATAAAAAAGACAAAAAAGAAAAAAAAAAGACCTCTGTCTGCTGGTCACTTCCAAGCAGATCTATGATCTTTCCTTGCTTCTTTCAAAGGCTTCCCTGTGCTAAGTGAAAGAAGCCCCAGGCTGCATCCACGTTTTGTGCTTTGTTTCTCTTCTGCTGTGAAAGGGGCCCCATGATTCTGGGTACAGGACAGTTCATTTCAGTGTGTCAGGGGTGGGGGTGTGGCATGCACACTCCCTTTACCTGCTGAAGTCCAGAACTTAGTGGACACAGCCCTGTCCACATCTCTAGGAGAGGGGAGCTGGCATGCATGGGGGGGGCTGACTCCCTCTACCCTTCCCTTGCCGGGGATAGCCTGTGTGTAGTAAGTCTGGCAGGCTTTCCCCAATTAGCAGGGCTGGGGCATTTCAAAACCCTCCTCACTTTGCTGGAGAGGAGATGGGAGACTTGAGCTGTCTCCAAACTGGTAAGCTGTATTAGTTAGAATGCCAGAGACCCCAGAATCACATCTAACAATCCAATGGGTCTCCTATAGTAAAGACTCCAGAAACATCCCTTTCTCTTCTCCCTGCTCCCATGACTAACTGCATTTGCTTTTATAATTCTTGATGAGCAATATCTGCTAGAAAGTTTAGCTGTAACAGTTCTTTTTTGCAAAAAGATAATTGTTAAGTAATTGAAAACACCCCGCCCCCAAAAAAGTCCAAACCTTGTTCTTCCAAAGCAGAGAGCATTATAATCACCAGGGCCAAAATCTGTCCCATACCTCCACCCTACCCCCTCATCATTGCTTCTTCTGAGGCCAGAATATAGCAGACATAGATATTTGTAGGCCCTTTGGGTGGCTGGGCTACCCTTGTGCCTCTTGGAAGATGGGCTGGAGAAACCTCTGAGACCCTATCCTAGGTCCTTGCTCTATCGAGCACTCAGTATTAGCAGAGCATCACAACATTATTCCCCAGTCAGCATGGGATGGAGGCAGAAGAGGCCAGAGGCTTGTTGCCAGTGATACTTAGCCACTGACAGGTGGGTAATCATGTATGTCCGTCCATATGAGTGCTTTATGACTGATATAAGATCAGCACCCAAGTTAGATTCACCTGGTGACCTCTAGCCCTGTCTGGATAGAGCAGGCCACCCAGTTCAATATTTCTGGGCAGCTTGGAAAATGGAGTACAAAAGGCTTGCAGAACTTGAAGCCCACTCCTGACCTTGCTACCATGGCCTCCTTTTCCATTTGATTTGTCACTGCTTCAATCAATGACAGCTGCTCCAGAGTCAGTAGTTGATGAATATATGACCAAATATCACCAGGACTGTTACTCAATGTGTGCCGAGCCCTTTCCTCGTGCTGGGCTCCCTGTGTACCTGGACACTGTAATGTGTGCTGTGTTTGCTCTCCTTCCTCTTCCTTTCTTTGTCTTTCTGGGGTTTTTCTGTTTGGGTTTGGTTTGGTTTTATTCTTTTGTGTTCTAAACATGAGGTTCTCTCTATTAGTCCTCTTTAACTGTGGTGTTGAGGCTTCTATTTGTGTAATTTTTGGTGGGTGAAAGGAACTTTGCTAAGTAAATCTCTTCTGTGTTTGAACTGAAGTCTGTATTGTAACTATGTTTAAAGTAATTGTTCCAGAGACAACTGCTTCTAGACACCTTTTCATTGCAAACAAAGCATTTGAAGAGAGGGATTGGGTGACTAAGACAAGAGGGACAATCTGAAGAGACAACCCCTGCCCAGATAAGCCAGAAGCCACCAAGAAGTTAAGCACTGGATTCCCATTCCAAGTCAAGAGACTGAAGCTAATGTGTTGCCATTTTCAAAGTCAGAGCAAAATCAGCTTTTGTTCACCCAATGAATTCTTTTGCTTACCTTCCTGGATTATCACTGCTATTGTTAATTAAAAAAAAGAGAGAGAGACAACATCAGCTCCTTCCAGGAGTGCCAGGAAAGGAAGAGATGTAAGAGCAGAGCTGAGCTTATTGAGTAGGGCTGGGCCTGCTCTTGCAGGTGGATGCCCCTCTGAGGACACAAATTAGAGAGGAAACATAAGATGAATTAGACACTCCCTGCCTGAGATAGCTCTTCCTGGATAAACCAAGGCAGTGGGCGTTATTGTCTCCAAGGCATGTTTCAGGGACATGACCAGTTAGGACACTTCTGTCACACCCCATGCTGTCCCCTAGTGCATAGTACTAAGCTGCTATCTTGGCTCCCCACCCTGCCTGGGGAATAAAATGATGGTAGAGGGTTCTTTCTTTCGATGTCATCTGATTCCCACAAAATCTGGGTGTGAGAAACCACCTTGTCTTTCCACGGCAAACATCTTCAGTAAAGCTGTTATCCTCATTACAGATTGTTCCAGGCTCATATAAGAGGAACAGACAGACCTGTGCTCCCTTAGAGCCTCTTGTGAGGATAGTGGTATCTGATGTGACCAGTTGACCATGGTTTTTAGTAGCTGGAAAAACTAGATAGGGTACATGCCCCCTCCTAAATCCATGTGGCACTTGCCTCTGCCAGCCTGAAGGGTGTGGTCTGTAGGAGAGTGCAGCCAGTGACAGGCAACCCTGTATTGGAAGATAATGGCACCAGCAAAAAAAAAGCCAATCTGAGGTTGGGAAGCAGGCACACTGGGCACAGAGAGATCCAAGACAGACATAGCTGGAGGGGTTGATCTTGAAAAGCCCTCTGTCGAATTCACCTTCAGTTTTTGTGTTTTGGGACAATTACTTTAGAAAATAAGTAGGTCGTTTTAAAAACAAAATATTGATTGCTTTTTTGTAGTGTTCAAAAAAAAAGGTTCTTTGTGTATAGCCAAATGACTGAAAGCACTGATATATTTAAAAACAAAAGGCAATTTATTAAGGAAATTTGTACCATTTCAGTAAACCTGTCTGAATGTACCTGTATACGTTTCAAAAACACCCCCCACTGAACCCCTGTAACCTATTTATTATATAAAGAGTTTGCCTTATAAATTTACATAAAAATGTCCGTTTGTGTCTTTTGTTGTAAAATCAAGTGGTTTTTCATAAGGTTCTTTTACTATTTGAAAAGATGGGCAGCACGTGGTTTTATTTTATTTTTGTAAGTTTTTTAATACATGTGAAAGCAAAGAATACTCAGCATGCCTTTCTAAGTGATGCGTTTGCACCTTTTGTTGGGAAGTACTGTATCCTGTGCTGTTAGCATTCTCGATAAATCTCTCTGTGAAAGTGACTCAAGGTCTGTGCTTTCATTATAAGTCAGCAGTCCCCTCCAGCTCACCTGACAGCATGATGGTGTGGGAGGGTTGGAAGGCCTGTCTCATATGCTGGTCTCACTGGAATCCTCCTCAATTTGCTCTGTGTCAATGCTTTCCAGGCACACTGCACCAGCATTTGACAGGAAGGCCTGAGACAAGTGTGCCTAGAGCACAACTTCCCTCTCCTGACCAGTGTGGCACAGGCAGCTACTAGGTCCTAGAGTGCCACGGTGTTTTTTTTTTAACACCTTTCTCCTCAACTCTGACTTCTGTGGCCAATAGCAGCTAAGACTTTTCTGCATTACTTCTATGAGTGGCTAACCTGCCTTCCTGACCAGGGTAGGACATGCTGAGGAACTGCCCAAAGTGATCCCTTGTGTCATTGGCTTCCTGTGCGAATATGAACCTTCTGCAGCTGCCCACTCATATCTGTCCTCCTTAGGCTGATCTGGGCTTGAGGAGAGGATAATGGTGTGTCAAATTGTGGACACATCTATTTAAAAAAGTCTTTCTTAAAGTCCTGGCTTCAAATGTTAGACGAAAGGGTTACAGATTCAGCATGTAGACATGGAGCATCTACTATGTTTCAACATGTAGACGTGGAGCATCCACTATGTCCCAGGCGTATACCAGACACTGATAGTTAGTCCCCAGTACATAAAAAGAACCAAATCCCTTCTCCTAGGGCTTGGTATATGCACACAATAATTTTGAATAATGGAGTTGTGCATCTCAATAATGACTAACCCATGAGAAACCACTGGAAACTCAGAATATGATTGACCTCTTGGGTTGTTTGTTTGTTTCTTTGGTAGGGTCTACCTTTTAGTCCAGGCTGACCTGGAACCAAGTGTGTAGGATGATCTGCTTCAACCTCCCAAGTGCTGGAATTACATGTGTGAGCCACCATGCCCAGCTTTATTTTATGACAAGGTCACACTATGTAGCTTTGGCTGGCCTGGAACTATTATGCATAATAAACCAACCTGACCTTGAACTAGTAGTAATCTTCCTGCCTCTACCTTTGGAGTGCTGGGTTTACAAGCATGCACCACCACACCTAGTTCGACCTCATCTTGAGAGCAGTCAAAATGGCTATGGTTTCAAAGATGAGGCCACAGTAGGAACCAGCCATGAGCCTTGGGTAGACTTTTCTGGAATATAAGTTTCTTAGACGACAGTCTAGTGAGAGGGAACCCTTTCCAGTTAGGATTGATATGACAAGAGGGTCTGTTGGAGAAACTGTAGTCAGAAGAAAGCTATTGCTTTACAAGTTTGCTTTCAGATGGAGAAACAAAATTGCTACCTGTGGGTCTTCCCCAGGCAGTGAGAAATTATGAAAATTCAGAGGTATGGAACTCCAGCAAGTTCAAGATGTGCCCAAGAGAAGTTAGGTGGGGTTTGGGAAGCTTTCCACACAGCTCTTTTTGTGGGGGGTTGAGGTTTCAAGACAGGGTTTCTCTGTGTAGCCTTGGCTGTTCTGGAACTCACAGAGATCTGCCTGCCTCTGCCTCCCAAGTGCTGGAATTAAAGGCGTGGGCCACCACCGCCTGGCTCCCCACAGCTTTTTATGCTCAGTCTTGTCAGGATGGGTTATAGCAGGGGTATATGCAAACAACTTCAGAGACAGAATGAGAAGTGCTTTTTAGAGTATCTAAAGAGGGTTTTTTTGGGGGGGGGTTGGTCTTGGTCTTTTTGAGGCAGGGTCTCACTTTGTATCTCTGACTGACCTAGAACTCACTATTTAGACCAAACTAACCTCAAATTCAGAGATCCACCACCTGCCTTCGTTTTTCCAAGTGCTGGGATTAAAGGCATGTACCACCAAGCCCAACATCATGGAGTTCTTAATGGCTTAAGGCTATTATTCTATATAAATTCAGGTGGGTGGGCAGGGGCTGACTATGCCATCTTCCAAATAGCCATATACAACTGGGACTCTATGGGAGGGCTTTGGGAATTTTGGGAAGGTCTTCTGTAAGAAAGTGATTTGGTGATCTGTGCCCAAGGAAGACCACATGAACAGGGAGCCCTATCAGAGCCATAAAGTTCATGCAGGTAAGTGGTACTGGCTAAAATACTAAGAGTAGTGGACTCATGGGAAGAGGACTTCAGGGTGTCACTGACAACTGCTCTAGAAAAGAATAGGGAAAGCTGCTGGACTCTGGTGTCCTCATAAGTGCAAACTAAGCCAAAAGCGTGGCAGAAAAGGGAAAAGGTGGCAAAAACTGGACATTATGCACATGGGGATGGAGCAAGGCCCTGTTAAAGAGACATAAATGTGTTGGCTGTCTGTCGAGCTAGTGAGGAGCCTGAACAGGCATATACTGTGAAGCTCTAACATTTGTTGCCCAGCTTCATGCCGGTTCCTGGAGGTGGGGTGGGAGGAGTGGGAACTAGCACACAGGCGTGGTGTGCAATCTTCCAGACCATTCTCTGGGCATCCGTCCTTATTACCAGATGACTAGAGTCAGCCAGAGGGCCGTTTTGTGACCGACATTTGACCCTCCTACCAACATCTCAGCCAACTCTGCACTACCCTCCAAATAAAACTGAAAGGAGCCTCTTCCGTGACTTTTCACCAGGCTTCACATAAATCACCTTTGTAGAACATCGTGTTTTTCCCTTGCCCTTTGTCTACATAACTGGAAGTCGTTCTTCATCCTGCTCAGTCGTAGTCAGACGGTTGCCACTGCTGGAAGTCCACCCTCCATGTAGGCTCACAGTCCTTGGTTCTTCCGCATGGAGGGACAACCCTCCTTCCCAGCAGAGCTCCTACCCCAGGTTGAGGGTGGCGTGGGACGCCCCCGTGTGGCCGAAGGCCGCGGAAGGCAAGATGGCGGCGGGCTCCAGCGCCGCCTCTTCCGCCCTGCCGGGCGTCGCACGAGGCCGGCTTGAAGGGAAGTGACTCAGTGTCCGCGGACCCGGCCGGCTCAGGCCTGCGCCCGCCGAGGCCCCGTGAGGCCCCGGCCTGGCGGCGGCGGCGGCGGCCATGGCCGGGGGGCCGGGCCCCGGAGAACCATCGGTTCCTGGCGCCCAGCATTTCTTGTACGAGGTGCCACCCTGGGTTATGTGCCGCTTCTACAAAGTGATGGACGCCCTGGAGCCCGCCGACTGGTGCCAGTTCGGTGGGTGACGGCAGGCCTGCGTGGGGCAGGGGACCTGGGCTTCTGGCGCTAAAGCCTGACGTTCCCCGCCCCGCAGCGGCCTTGATTGTGCGCGACCAGACAGAGCTGAGGCTGTGCGAGCGCTCTGAGCAGCGCACAGCCAGCGTCCTGTGGCCCTGGATCAACCGCAACGCGCGCGTGGCTGACCTCGTTCACATTCTTACGCACCTACAGCTGCTGCGTGCGCGGGACATCATCACAGCCTGTGAGCGAGTGTGGACCCAGGGACCCTAGGGATGGGAATTCACGGGAAGTGACGGGTACAGTCTCCCGAGATGGGACCACATGGGAAACACACACACACACACACACACACACACACACACACACACACACACACAGCTGACACTCAGAGACAGACCTGAACCTCCCCCCCCCACACACACACACACAGACAAAGACAGACAGACAGCTGACACACACAGAGAGACAGACCTGAGTCACAACTCTCCGGCAGGTGGGTACAGAGCCTCCCGAGTCAGGACCATATGGGAACCCCTCCCTACACACAGAGAGAGACAGAGTAACAGAGCCAGACCTGAGTCACAACCCTCTTTCCTTCCTTGTTATCCCAGGGCACCCTCCTGCCCCTGTTCTGCCCCCAAGCACTGCTGCTTCAAGGCCCAGCAGCATCTCTGCAAGCTCCGAGGCCGAGGTCTGGAACCCAGAAAAACTGCAGTCCTCTGCCTCCACCTTCCTCTCCCCAGGTAAAAAGAAATTGGGTGTTGGGCTTGATATGACTGAGGAAAAGGCCACCATGACTGTTGCCATGGCTGTAGACTGCTGCTGGTCTCTGCCTCTCACTAGCATCTTTATGAAGCTTTTCCAGGCTCCCAGACCTATTCTGAACCAGAGCTCCCAGTTCCAATCCCGGCTTCCCTCAGGCCACCACTGCCATCTTCAGCCCCTTCCTCTGACAAGGTAGGTGTCCTTTAACCCCCAGGGAAAATTCCAGACAAGGAGGAAGAAACTCAGCCTTTTGGTGTACAACAGAACCCACAACAGCACAGCCAGGGACCTTCCAGCCTGGATCAAAGAGAATAGGTAGGATCCTCACCTGATCCATGGTCTCTTCCAACAGCCAAGCACAGAGAGCCCAGAGTGTGGCCTCCAAAGGACACATACCTCCCCATTTTGCTGGCCCTTCTGTGAGATTTCCCAAGGCACCTGCAACTTCTCTGAAGAGCTCAGGATTGGAGAGGGTGGTTTTGGGTGTGTGTATCGGGCAGTAATGAGAAATACCACATATGCTGTGAAGAGACTGAAGGAGGTAGGTGTAACAGTGGGATAGCCACCTGGAAGACAATCCATCAGTCCTTATTTGTCCAGTTCCTCCCTCCATCACCCCTCACTTCTGCAGTCCCCTGCCTCCAGCCTCCCCCAAGCAATTCCTTCAGTCCTCTGATTCCAGTTCAAGGACCCCAAACCTTCCGTTGTTATGGGCCTGGAAACAGCTGGCAAGCTTGGCTCATGCTGCCTACTTTCCCCACCTCTTACCCCACCATGTCTGGGACTGCAGGAGGCTGACCTAGAGTGGACTGTGGTGAAACAGAGCTTCCTAACAGAGGTGGAGCAGCTGTCAAGGTGAGCCTTGTGGGTCCCTCCTGTCTGGGGGCACAAGGAGAGAACCACACGAGGGCCTCATCAGTCTCTAAGGACTGCCAGCACAAGGCCTGACTCCCTTGGGCCCTCAAGACCTTTCCAGGCCCAGGTGAGGGAACATCAAAGGCTGCTTACCCAGCCTAGCCTGATGAAAAGTAGTAGGGCTCAGAGAACTAAAGAATACTGACTGCGCCTGACAGTAATGG